GATATGCGGTGGTTAATTTTTTGACTGTGACCGGTATGCTTTTGCCTCTGTTGTGCTTTGTGCCATCCCCCACACCATTACACCACCACCACCAGCCTGCACAGTGGTAACAAGGCATGATGGATCCATGTTCTCATTCTGTTTACGCCAAATTCTGACTCTACCATCTGAATGTCTCAACAGAAATCGAGACTCATCAGACCAGGCAACATTTTTCCAGTCTTCAACTGTCCAATTTTGGTGAGCTCTTGCAAATTGTAGCCTTTTTTTCCTATTTGTAGTGGAGATGAGTGGTACCCGGTGGGGTCTTCTGCTGTTGTAGCCCATCCGCCTCAAGGTTGTGCGTGTTGTGGCTTCACAAATGCTTTGCTGCATACCTCGGTTGTAACGAGTGGTTATTTCAGTCAAAGTTGCTCTTCTATCAGCTTGAATCAGTCGGCCCATTCTCCTCTGACCTCTAGCATCAACAAGGCATTTTCGCCCACAGGACTGCCGCATACTGGATGTTTTTCCCTTTTCACACCAATCTTTGTAAACCCTAGAAATGGTTGTGCGTGAAAATCCCAGTAACTGAGCAGATTGTGAAATACTCAGACCGGCCCGTCTGGCACCAACAAACATGCCATGCTCAAAATTGCTTAAATCACCTTTCTTTCCCATTCTGACATTCAGTTTGGAGTTCAGGAGATTGTCTTGACCAGGACCACACCCCTAAATGCATTGAAGCAACTGCCATGTGATTGGTCGATTAGATAATTGCATTAATGAGAAATTGAACAGGTGTTCCTAATAATCCTTTAGGTGAGTGTATATATATATATCATTTTCAAAGAATTTTTAAATTTTTAAGTTTTAAAGAAGTCTCCCATTTATACACACACGTTGTGTTTTCATGTTTTATGGTGACTTTCCATAGACATAATGGTTTTTTATACTGTGCAAACTGTATATTCTCTCCCCTTACACTAACCCTACCCCTAAACCAATCCATCACATAAAACATTCTGTATTTTTACATTTTTAAACAACATAATTCTGAATGATTAAGACAAAAAAAAAAATCCCCACAAGGATTTCAGAAATTGCCATCCTTATGGGGATATTTTGTCTATTTACCTGAACCACACACACACACACTTAGCTATCTAAATGGGGACATTGTTTAACCTAACCCTACCAGAAAACTTTCTCCATTTTTACAATTAAAGTCCCCCTAGTCACTGTTTATCCCTTAAAACTCATCTTTGATCACCAAAATGACATACTTAAACATTTTTTTTCCCTTGAAATATTTTTCTTCATGCCTTAAAATGGCTTAAACTCGACACCCTTACCTCATATAGTATACGCGGATCTATGAATATGCAAATGAGCCCCGCCTCCACTCACTCACAGCAGCTCAGAGATCCACTCGTTGACCTGATTGGTTACAAGGTCGTTTGTGACATCAGAAACACCAGCAATTTCAAACCACTGTTTTTGGTTCACTGCAGTTTTACGAAGACACCACATGTAGATTTTCACCGCAGGGGGACTTGCAATTAAATGCATTTACTTTATTTGTATGTCATAAAAAAAAAAGTTGTCAGGTTTGTTAAAACTCACTTGGTAAAATATGGTTAAGGGCCTGCTCACATATCGCGTCTTTTGCGCGCTCAAGTTCGTTATTTCAAATGTAGGCGCGCGGTATGCGCGCTCATAATGGAAGCAGTAGTTTTTAGGCGCTATATGTGAATCCGGCCTAAAGGTACTGTGTCGGCTGACGTCACTTCCTGTTGACGTTCGAAGTATTGTCAAACAAAACCTTTCTTTTACCGTCTATGAACAAAACAGAGGCTAGCCATTGAGGCTAGCTCGACCCTCCCTCCTCCTCATCTGCACACTAACCCCGCCCCCAAACCCTTCTTGTCGGCTATCGGCTGAATAGTTTGTTATGTTTCGTGGTGGGGTTTGCCCAGTTTGTTTTTGTTGCTGTTTGTGGAGCCTGGGGTGTCTACAGAGACCGCGTTTCTTTACAGTGTGTTCAGGGGACAAAGCTAGCGGATAGTGTGGAGATGTTTGCTGTATGTGACAAAAAATGTTTTGGGCTAAAAAACGTGTGACATCGCTTAGAGCACCTTTAAGTAAGTACAAACACACACACACACGCAAGCATAACCATCACTCCTCTGTCTTTAGTCTCCCGAAGACCTGAAGCTACAGCTCTGTGGACACAATAGCACAGTGACAAGCAGAATATGGTTTCGAAATGAGCTCAGTATTTATGAGCGGGTTACTATGTAAATAGATTCAGCAAACAAATGAAGAGGAAAGAAGGGTTTAGTGTTTGTCTGGATGGACTGTTCTAATCAGTTCAGCGGTCAGGATTTCTGCTCACACTAGACGTTAGATGCCTGGGCGTGTGTACATCAGAGCACTGAATATCAGAAAACAACAGAATCGTTGATTAGAGTATTAGAGAATATTTGAGTATTTAAGAATGGCATAAAAATTACCGTAATTGTTACATTTTGCCATGCGTCACTGCCGCCGTGATAGTGTGCTTTCTTTGTTTGTGCAAGTATTTTGAGAGGTTGTTAAACTGATTAAGACACAATAAATACAATTTGCATGGATTTTACAGTTATTAATATCATAAACCCCTTTCCTTTACTAATCTATGAAACTCCACACATTTGACGTTTTTCCACCAAAGAACAAGCACTGTGTGGCATCCAAACGTAGAGGCATTGCTCAGTGTCTTTATTAAAAGTCCCACATCTGCAGACAAAGCTTACATTGTTAATGCCGCTCATAATCTCTGTAGTTTCTCACAGCATTTTAACACACTATGACTAGGCCTTTATGTTTTCCACAAGCTTAGAGCAGAGAAACTAGACAATCTTGCGGAAAATCTTCATCTCTTGAAACAGCGCCCTCCTCTGTCATTTCTGATATTAAACAGGAAAAAAGAAAACAAAGATATTGTCTATAATTTATTTTTAAAGAAATGTTAGTTTCTTGATTATAATTACTAATCTGATAAATACAGTATGGGAATATTTTATCAAGTTTTTGAGACTGAAAAACAAAAGAACAGTCCTGTATACATACATACATTATATACTCCAAAGCCTGTGGTCAGTTGTAATGTATATATTCTGTTTCATTGTGTTTTTCCCTGTTTCCCTGTGACCCAGTTTTCATGTGTGATTGATGTTTTCCGTTCATCTGTTGTCCAGTGAATTAGCCGTTTAGTTCCTCGTTTGCTCTGTGTATTTAAGCCCTGTGTTCTTCTGTTCAGTCTACTTCGGTATTAGAGGTTGTTTCTACCGGTTACGCGAGATATTTCATTAAAGACTGGTCCATTGTTATATTTGTCCTCGTCTGCTTCATATGTACAACCATTGACATCAGTCAATTTGTTTGGTTTTGTTTTTCAGCAAAGATGGGTTACATTTTTATTTTTAAACAGTGAATATTCATCAAAGAATACTGAAGAAACATCACCGTTTACACAATAATATTAAGAATCACAATTTATTTTTATTTATTTATTAGAATGATTTCTGAAGGATCATGTGACACTGAAAATTCAGCTTTGCCATCAGAGGAATGAATTGTATTTTAAAATTTAATAGAAAAGTTCTTTTAAATCACAATAATATTTCAAAATATTAGTTTTTACTATATATTTTTGTAAATAAATGCAACCTTGGAGAACAGAAGAGACTTCTTTGAAAAACATACATTTTACGATCGAATAAGATTATAATAAGAACGTTTATGTAATTGAATGGACATAACATTTTTTTTTAATAAATAAAAATAATTAAATACATTACAAGACCAGTTATGCACCAGTCACATTTTGTTTAGTTTGTTTTCATGTCTTGTAAAAATTCAGAGTCATTCCTGTTTGTCATGCAGTTCATGTGCTTCCCTTGTCATGTTCTGATTGGTTGCTTTAGTCATGTGTTTCTCAGTTCTGTTTTCTCATTGGTTTATTGTTAATCATTAGTCTTTGTGCATAAATAGCTAGCTTTGTTCATGTAATCACTCACTGTTGCTGAGATTTGTCTTCGTCAGGTCTAAATTATGTGTTCTAGATGTTAAGGTTTGTTTTGTATTCTGTCTCAATAAACTTCGCATTCACCAATCCTTTAGTTGACTTGTATTACATCACCATGGAGATACCAAACGCAGAATCCAATTCAACACACGGGACACAAGATGACCACAAGCCAACCGTTATTGAAATGAGAAAGTTAAGCTATCATTATAAATCGTTTTTAAAGATGAATACCTGCTAAGACTTTCCACATACATAACATGTAAAACATAAAATTGTGAAACTAAAGCCCTATTCGGACTGGATTAGTTTAACATGGAGAGGAGGGGTAAAGTAATAAATACCAGAGCTTCCAGTGATTTTTGTCCCGTCTGAATGTGCCATCTCAGTTATCATTACGGACAACATCAGTGAATATTACGGTGACTTTTACCTTCTGGAAAAAGGTCCAGAAAAATGACCTCAGGTTATACTAATGCCGTCTAAATATACAAGCTGTAAATATGTACGTAAATATTCCGCCATTTCCTGATTAAAAGTAGTTTTCCACGGTTTTTACAGGTATGGAGGCGCTTGAAAAAGCATTCAGTTGTGTTCTAGAGGTGGACAATCTGTGACAAAAATGTTTTCCACATACAAAACCATTCAGGAACTTATTTTTAGCTTTAGGTAAGTACCTATTATATAGGTTGTATAGATTATATGTGTTTGCGCAGGTGATATTAGGAAGCAAATGACGACAGGAGTGACGGCGGTGTGTAAATAGAGTTACCCCTCCCACTTCTGCTGCTTTACTGAGATTTCTAATACCGTGCGTATTGGCCATTAATATTACAGTAACGTTAGTCCTGTGGTAAAATTACATTATTACTCCATCTACCCTTGTTAAACAAATCCCATCCGAATAGGGCATACGACTTCTTCAGCAAACATAAAAATACTTAAATCTCTTCATGACTGACCCATGAAGTCGGTCAGTCATGGAGAAGACGTCCCACACATTAAAGATCAAGCGTTTCGCCCGAGACCACACTCCTGTTCGTGTTCGCCAAACATCTGGCAGACATGCAACTGTTTTTGCATCAAAATAGTAAAACCGAGACATGCGCCGTGTTGTGTGGCTGTTGTGGAAGTTTAATCCTCCTTGTTAAATTCCAGAGTGTCTTTATAACGACATGTGATGAATGTGTCACAGTTCTGTCTTCACTTTGTGCATGAGGTCTTTCTGGTCAATCATCTCCAGTTGTCTGTTCCAGCGGTGGTATGCTAACAGTGCTATATTCTTAGCCGCCACCGAGCTCATTTCCATCGCACTTCCAGCCCATTCGATTCCGTTGAGGAAGTACAAGTTATCGTGCAGCTCCACCGGTGGCAAACCCTGTGTGCTTCCATAACTAGGGTACGCCAACCAATCCGTGACCTGCACGGAGTAATAGGACTTAAAAAGGGTCTTCAGCTCATTCTTCCCCAGAGGCACTGGGGAAAACACCTTGTAAACCCCGGCCTCCTGAGGCTGTTTCCTGCGGAAGCCGGAGGTTATGTTGACGGGACACACGCTGGCAGCGCTGTTGAAGACCAGTCCGGGAGTGTCTGTGGTAAGGATGCTTGAAAACGGGAAAAGCTTTGGGTCGGGGAAGCCGAAGTAGGTGCAGTTTAGGTAGCCGTGGATGATGGAGGCCACGGTTTGGTGGTAGGAGCCCGTCATTTCTGGGAGTTGTGGCTCAAAGCCCTGGAATGAGATGCCGGAGTTGACGTTTTGTTGGAGAGGCGTTGCTACCACTACAATATCGTAGAGCTCCGATGTCTTTTCATTTTGAGAGTCGTAGGTGAGCTCATACTGGTGGTAATCTCCTGAGGAAACAAACTGCAGTTTTAGTTATTATTCAATAAGGCTGTCACTTTTGTGAAAAAATCCTGTTTGATTTTTTATGTTCATTGAATCGATTGTAAAATCGATATTTTCCACGTCTAAAGACGTTTCCATTTTCAACGCCAAATATAGGCAAATCCACGGACACCTAACAGGCATTAGGGCGAACGTAAAGAGGGCGCTTGAGACAAGTCAGCAATATTTCTGATGATTTATTGGCGTGAAGTTTCGTGCACAATGACAAACAGGTGTGTAACATTCTCGAAAAACAATAAGCAGAGTGGACTGCCATAACATCAATGAAAAGCATAACTGCAGGCTTCAACATGGCTGCGTTTACGATTAGAAATGTCAAACAAATTTCACCTGCGTAGGCGATTGTAGAAAAGCCCGACTCTGTATCTGTATCCATGAGACTGTCTGGATACCGTCGGAATTCACATTTATGTTGTAAAAAGAGACTCATTATGCAGAAGTATAGTTTGCTGTTATGTGTGTTTGTCAGAGCCTGCAGTTGCTGTGTGACGCGCGTTCGCTGCGGGCGTATCGTGACGAGCTGGACGCGCTCCGAGAGAAGGCCGTTAAAATCGATTCCCTGTTTTCGTTTTTTCGAAACTTGTGTTGGTTGGTCCGATCGACTGTGCAATCGATTTTCGAACGTAAAGTGACAGCCCTATTATTCAATAAGACCACCACATTTTTAAGGTGCGTTCACACTGGCATTATACCATCTGGATGCTCAAAATTGACCGGTGAATGGTTTAAACAGCTGATTGCACAGGCAAGTTAATCGCCGTTCTAAACTAATGCGCTGCTGCATTGTAACACTCACAGATACAGATAAGAAAACCATGTGAAAAAACTTAATTCTTAAAAATCCGTAATTCTTCCCCTGCCATTGGCGAGATTTTCCATCATTTATGACACCACTTTCCTGCCATTGACAAATTTCAGGCAATCCATGTTTCCACTGTTGTTACTGACCCTCTGAAATAGTACAGAATCTTCTGATCCAAAAACAATGGAGGAAGATCTGCGTAACCCAGAAGAAGCGACTTTTTTGCCCCAAAAAAGTTTGTTCTAGTGACATTTTGGACAAACATCATATTCGTTCTGCTGTCTGACAGAAAATATGTAAATGAGAACAGTTTTATTGGACATGTGTGAGCACGGATAAGAAGAGAAAACAAGATGCAAGTATGACACAATGTCACGAATACGCTAATCGATGACGCATGACGTCATCTAGTGACATTTTGGGCAGGATTTAGCTAGTTTCCTTTGAAAACAGTTGGCAACACTGGATAGAAGCGGCATGATTCACAAACAGTCTTTTCAACCACACAGAATCGTAATTTCTGTGTTACAATAATTCATATTTTCACAGAAGTACTAGGATAAAAGTTTATAGCTTGAATATAAACACTGATGTCTACGGTAGAGATCAAAATAGAGCAAAATCACCTTTTAAAAGTAACGTGTCGAGTGAGCGAATCCAGACAGTAGTTGAGCGTACATCGGCTGTACACTCGTTATTGCGGTGCAATGTGGGATTGAATAAGTGCACTCAATAACGTCCACTATGGTTTGGGACACCACTACAAATGGCTGCCCCCTCAAATAACGCCCTATTTGAGGGTATAGGCGGCGGTTTTGGATTTAGCCAATGTCTTTGTCATTGAATCATTCATTCAAGAGATTTGTTCAAAAATGCTGATTCATCCAGTACTGAAACAAGAAGTATTTATGAGCGACTTATTGAATCATTCATTCAAACTGCCTTTTTTGTTTGTTCTGTATCCGATCCGGACAAAGTCTTTGACAAAAGCGTGATTTTCTAAGCTTTTTTAATTAGATCCACGAACAGTATTTTTGCCTGTCAGTATGAACACACCTTCAGAGGTCTTCAGAGATTGTCATGTGGAATACCTGTTGATCGTAGGCTAATGGTTGTAACTGGACTCTGGATGAGATTAGCTTTTGCTAGTTTAAGCAGTCCTGAGCAAACCAGCTTGTTTCCTCCCTCCACGGCCCAGAGATTGGCCTGTGCACCAGCGAGAGACACGGCACCTGTCACAGAGAAACACACACATGGAGAGAACACCACTAAACATGGCCTATGACCAACATTTTGTTGCAGGATCATTCAGAACTTTCTCTTCTACTGTTGATAAGATATTAAGGTTACACTTTATTTTAAGGTGATGTAGTTACGTTGTACTTACTCAAATAAGGAAGGACTGAGTTAGGGTTTGGTTTAGGGCTAGTTACTTGTAACTATGCATCATTTACTGTTATGACTATAGTAAGTACATGTAGTAACGTAACCATGTCACCTTAAAATAAAGTGTTACCGGTATTAAAAGTGGCAAATCATTAAAACTTTGATGTCATATACCATATAAACTTTTTGAACTCTGTCCAAAACCCATTCATTTTAACTAAGCAACAAAAAAAAAACATTAAGAAATCAGCTTGTTTAATTTTTTAACATTTAAAAATTCACGTACATGGTCACAAAATTAAATAAACTAATATATAAAAAATGTACAATGTTTCAAAATATTTTGTTTTTTTTAAGTTAAAGGGCTAAAAATGGCTGTTTTGTGTTTGAGTAAATTAAAAAAATGCAAGTTATTCCCGTGATAACAAAGATGAACATGTTATTGTTAAAACAGTTGCTCATTATATTAATAAAAAATGTAGCAATGTCTTTACTGCCACATTTGATGCATTAAAAATGCTACATTTTCAAAAAATAATAATAATACTGTACCCAAACTTTTGAATAGTCGTGTATATTTAATAGATTTTTAAGGATGCTTATGTTTTTGGTGCAAAAACTTTACAATATTTACATGATGACAAGACACCTTACGATTTTTAATAAGAAGATCTTGTCGCCCTTTAATGTTTGAGGTTTATTATATACTCTTCTTTATATCTAGCTATTTATACACTTTGTGCTTTAAATATGTATTATGTGATTATTATTCACCATTTTTAGAATGAAAAGTAGAGTATAATATAAAAGAGAATAATTCGAACCCCTATGAAGAAAGGGCTGTGCGTACCGACAAACGCAGGGATGCTGATGTTCTGGCCGTAGTTGACCCTCATGATGGGGGCGATGACCTCATCAATGAAGCGCTGGGAGACGCCCAGCTCGAGCAGAGATTCGGAGAGAGAGCGGCGGGTCATGTTGATAAAGCCTGAACCGCCCAGAGAGTGCAGCAGCTCCTCCACCGAGCTGAAGGCGTAGCCATGGGCCTGGTATTTATAGATCCTGACAGGAAAAGAGAGGATGATGGTTCATTCGGTAAATGAAAATCAAATACAAAAACTTGTTACTCAGCTGAACAGAACTGCCGATTTTAAGGCTCCCCAACACTACAGTTAAATCATCGTATGTAATGTCTTTTTCAAATAACAGAGAATGCATCAACTGGATAATTTCCCAAGAAGTGCCTCTTTCTTTCAAGGTTTTTTCAGTATTACCTATTGAGGATTTGATCAAAAGGCTTTTTTTAAGTGCCCCTTTTGTGCTTTTTCGAATATTAGCTTTCATGCAGTGTGTAATAAAGCTGTTTGTGACTGTAAAAGGTCTGCAAAGGTAAAAAGATCAAAGTTCACAGTTATTGTGTCCCAAAAGAAAGAAGCGATCCTGAACTTCCTGAAACGAGTCGTCAGTCATTCCAGTCTTACTTCCGGCGTGAACCTATGTAGGTGTGTAACAAATTTGCATAATTATATATTTGCACAATTTTTTTGTATCCTATCGATTGTAAACAAGAGCTTTCTCTCTGGTTCTGTTCCAGATCATTGTAAACATGAGACCGATGTTGAAAAGACATCGCTCTCATTTTAGACCCATTTCAAATCTATCTTTTATTTGCTAAGATCTTAGAGAAAGCTGTTGCTGGAAAAATTAAATTACACAACACAGAATTTCAGGAGGGAAAAAACAAACATTATATAGAAATATATTTTTTAAACATTATGAATTATGAGTTCACGGATTTAATTAATTAGACATGCACTTTGATTATTAAAATTGAATTAAAATGGAATCTTAAAACAGAAAACACAGAATTTGGTAAAAAGAAAACGGAATTTGAGAAAATAAAAAGTAATCATAGGGCCATAAACATGTCATTTTTGTTAAACTTTTAATAAATTGTTAAAGTTTCATGATTTCAAGTAATTAGATTTAATTAATTATGTTTTTTTATTACTAAAATGTAATTTAACCATTAAAAGGGATGGTTTTTTTTAAATAATATTAAAGATAAAAACTTTACAATTACATAATCATATGTCTACTCCAATTAGTTTTCTTTTTTTAAATATAAACATTTAAATGGTGGCTGTCTTAAAAACTTCACAGATTTATTCAAACATGCATTAAATATTTAAGAACATTAAAAATTATAATGAATATGTAATGTGGTGCATATATTTATCAAAATGCTCCTTTCTAGACTAACGAGTTAAGGTCACTAAATATGTTTTTTTCTGAGGTTAATGTGATTTTACGTGACATAGTGTTTACAAGCTGTTTAATTGACGTCGTTCTGCGGTTGAAACACTCATTGAGTGATAACATGATATGGATTTTGGTAAGTTGTACAATATCTATGTTCTATAATATGTTGCTGCAATGTATATTATGAGAAAATAAAGTGTTCCCTGACCTTGGATGCATGTAAAAGTATTATAGGAGACAACCAAAACATAATTGGGAACCTTTAAAATAGCATAATAGGGGCACTTTAAAATGCAACAGCCGTACGTCGCAGCCCAACAAAACCTCTTGCTTTTGCTATTCAGTTTCAGGCAGTGCCGCTGCTAGCCATTTTGGTGCCCTAAGCATAATTCCTTTATGATGCCCCCCCTAAAAAAAAACATTTTCATTTAGGATTTTCATTTAGGGGGGCTAAGCCCCCAATGAGGGTATAATTTATAAAAAAAATTAAAAAGCTAAAAAGTAACACTTTAGATTAGGGTCTAATGCTTACTATTAACTAGTTTCATTACCATGCAATGGCATGGTTTTATAATCACTGGGATCCCGAATTTGAGGCAGGTTAGTTAGGGGTGTTCGGGGGAAATTTTGGATTTTTCTGAACTACAGATGTGCATTTTAAGATGTTGTGAAGGCAAAAAAAAATAAAAAATTCGATAACAACAGCTTTAAAACCATGTCAGTAGGCAGCTGATTATTTTTCTCTCCTCATCAGCATCACACTCTTTTTCTCTTTGTTTTTATCTTGCCCTGTCTTTTCCCCTCCTAAAGTTGGCTTTTTTAATTTACTAAAGGTTACAATTTGTATTTTATTCTCAATATGTACACATTCATTATAAATCCTGTGCCTAACATGATGAAAACGGCTTTGTTCATGTTTCTTGTCTCCTCACAATGACAGTAGCCTAAACTATTACACTAGGCTACATGTTACATAGGCCTATTTTCAGTTCAAAATAGCGAAATTAGACAAAACTATATTAGTTTGGCTAATTATTTTTTGTCATTCGTTTAACATTTATGACCTAAAAAAAACTGTCAAATAAAGTTAAGTTTAGCTACTTACATCTTATCTCGCACTTGACCGTACACTGAAGCGTCGAGTTGCACTGTTAAAATTCGCGCTCAGCGTCTGTGAACAAAGCCCGCCTACTTTGATTTGATTGGTCATCTCAAATATTCTGACATTGACGAGCAGTGACAGACCAATGAGGCTCAGATGAACACACACATGAACACACACACACACACACACACACCCTGTCCTGTGTTTCTGACGTGCTCTCTGTCTCTGCTCGGCGCCGCTGCGGAGTGAAGAGGAAGAACGCGCTGAATCTGATTATAACAAGAAGTTTGATGATTGGTTTTTCATTAGGCTATTTTTGGTGCCCCCTCAGCACTTGGTGCCCTACGCACAGCGCGTGATGCGCGTGGTGGGAGCGGCGGCGCTGGTTTCAGGTGGTTATTATAACATTTAATTCTAACAGGCAGAGATTGGGGGGAAACAAATACTATGGAAGTCAGTGGCCATCAACTGTCTGGTTACCGACATTCTTCAAAATATCTTCTTGTGTGTTCAGCAGAAGAAAGAAATTCATACAGGTTTGTGGGTGAGTAAATGGGTGAATTGTGTCCTTAATTATAAACGCAAGCAAATTTAAAAAGATTATAACCTGTCAGTAAAAGGATTTTAATGTCCTCCACCCTTTCGCTCACCTCATGAACTTCTCCATGATCTCCTCCACCCACATCTGCAGGCGGATGAAGCTGATCCCGTAGCGCCACCACAGGCGAAACAGATCCAGCAGGTACCAGTCAGTCTCCTCCAGGATAAACTCCTCTCCATTAAACACGGCTGTTTTCCCAGCCACGCTCTTACGGTACTTCAGCCCTGTGGACGGGTGGCATGAGATGAGCATTGACGAGAACAGGCTCACACTTTAGATAACGTGTCTTTAATTGTACTAGCGTTAATAAAAATGTTAAAGGGTTAGTTCCCCCAAAAATGAAAATTATGTCATTAATGCCTCACCCTCATGTTGTTCCAAGCCCGTAATACCTCTGTTCATCTTCGGAACACAGTTTAAGATATTTTAGATTTAGTCCGAGAGCTTTCTGTCCCTCCATTGAAAATGTATGTACGGTATACTGTCCTTGTCCAGAAAGGAAATAAAGACATCATCAAAGTAGTCCATGTGACATCAGTGGGTTAGTTAGAATGTGTTGAAGCATCGAAAATACATTTTGGTCCAAAAATAACAAAAACTACGACTTTATTCAGCATTGTATTGTCTTCCGGTTCTGTTGTGGATCCGTGTTCAGTGACGCCGCTGACGTAAGACGCTGCTGACGTGTGTCTGGTGTGTGTGTGTGTGTGTGTGTCTGGTGCGCCCGAGCTTCATTTACAGTATGAGGGAGACACACGCTGTAAACAAAACAATCTTCGCAAACATGTCTAAGGATTTCCACACAGAGGAAGACTTGCATTTTTTTGCCCAGCCATATTTATTTGAACCCGAATACATGAACACACCAGACACACGTCAGCAGCGTCTTACGTCAGCGGCGTCACTGAACGCGGATCCACAACAGAACCGGAAGACAATACAATGCTGAATAAAGTCCTAGTTTTTGTTATTTTCGGACCAAAATGTAGTTTCGATGCTTCAAAACATTCGAACTAACAAATTCAGTCTGTTCATCATATAAAGCGGTCGAGTCTCTTCAGAAAATGTGGACTAAACCGCTCGATAGTTTTAGATATCTTTATGAACTTTTTGAAGCGTCAAAGTGTGTAGCTGTCAATGGAGGGACAGAAATCTTCTCTCAGATTTTATTCAAAATATCTTCATTTGTGTTCTGAAGATGAACGAAAGTCTGACAGGCTTGGAACGACATGAGGGCGAGTAATTAATAACAGAATTTTCACAATCCCTTTAAGTGCAGTGTACTTATTGTGTGTTCATATTGTATTACAAAACACTTGTGCTGCTATTGAGGTGTGACACGGGTAATGTAAGGGTTAAGGGTGGGTTAAGGTGTAAGGGAAGGGTCAACAGTGAAATTACAGATGCAATTACATCCAGGTATTTTTTTTTTTTTTTTACATAGAAAGTACAATGTAAAAACATGTATGAACAAAATAATCGCATTGCATCAAATGATTCATGTTAGTGCATAGTTGTTAAAGACACCTATAAAGTGGGGCTGAGAACAGAATGACTAAAAACAAACACCTTACTCGAAGTATGAGCAACTGAAGACGTGTTTTCTCAGGAGGAGGACTAATTCAGTCACTAATAACTCAATTCAACATTTTAGCAATATGACTACAACCAACCCAGTTGCTGGACAAAGTCTTGCATGTGCAGGTTGAGGGAATGGATGATGGATCCCCCGGACTCGTAGTCTTGCTGGTTTACGGTAACAGTTGCCAGTCGACCACCGACTGAGCCTTTCTCAAATACATCAATTCTCACTTCTGGCCCGAAGTGTTGCCTAAGGAAATGAGCTGTAGCGGTTCCTCCGATTCCGGCTCCAACAACAGCTGCGAACACACCAGCACGAGTGTTCACACTGCAGCATAAACACCTTTATTATTAATATCACTCACTTTTTGGCCTACCTATTTTAGAAGGCGGGGCACCATCTTGTTTAGCAAAATCCGAATCCGACAATACATGCACAAAAGAAAGAAGAACAAGCAGATACTGATTCATGTTTGTTTATAACAACCGAGACTAACGTTACTTCCAATGAACAGAGGATGCACGTGCGCTCAAGCTAACAGTTGTTAAATGAATGCACGAGCCTTTATGCATTTCTTCTCAGCTTTGTAATAGAAAGGAATTAACACGCAAAGTATGAGATGATTTTAATAAATGTCGCTTAAAAGCTATACGCATAAATGTCTGCTACTGTCCACCGGCAACAACAAGGGCGCGTGATCTTTCATGCGCACGCTTCTGACCAATCAGAGCAAGAGAGATTCTCTTCTGACCAATCAGAGCAAGAGAGACTCTCTTCTGACCAATCAGAGCAAGAGAGACTCTCTGAGAGACTCTCTTCTGACCAATCGGAGCGATATAAATGCCTGACCAATCGGAATAGGAGAAACATTCTTTCAACCGGGATGCTAAAGCACAAAGATGGAACGGCTTCTTGAAACCAACTTATTAGATTTAGTTTTTATTGGAAGTTAAAAGGTGCCAAAAGCGATTTCAGCGACTGATTTAGACCGTCCAGTCCCTTCAATCGTACGGCATATTTAAAACACCGCCTTTCAAAGACATTTTAAGGCATTGACAGACAGAAAGATGCCTAAAAGATGGCTTAACTACTTTTAATTTCCATTTACTGTAAAGAGGGCTCTCACAGGTTTGATTTCTCAGCCAGGAGTCAGGTGATATCTGGCAGGTACATTTGACATTTCCAGGTTTCTCAGAAGTGGAAGTCGTCATGGGTCAAATTGAATGGCGATGAATGAGAGATTACTTTATTTTGTGTGTGTTCCTATTCTCTCAAATAGCAAAAGAAAAACTTCACAATAGTGTTTTCACAACTTTCAAAAAGAGGAACAAAATAAAGATAGAGATTGATAACGGCAGTCAGAAGAGAGAAAGATGTCATTTGGACCTAATCCACTGTATTCGAAATTAGTTTTTTTGTAATTTAAAGTAAATGTTATATAATACAAAGTATAGTGTTATTATAGTAAATAATAATAATAACTTTGCAGTGGATGGTCATGGAACTATGTATAAATCTTATTTAAACAATTTAATAACCAATTAAAAAGGAATTTATACCTGTATGATATTACGCAGTTTGGAAAATGGATGGATGAATTCATTTCCACGACTCTCAAAGTGCATTATGGGTATTCCCTAACCGTTGCACACTCGTTATTGCGGTGCATTATGGGATTGAATGAGTGCACTCAATAACGTCCACCATGGTTTCGGACACAAATAGCTGTTAGTGTCCTGTTTAAAGGAGTATTTCGACACGTTCTCGAAATTATTACAGGATTTCAACTTGTAAAAAGTGTTCAAGTTCTCGTAGAGCTCGTAATTACAACTTGTGAGCTGGGAATTTTCTGAGAGCTCCTATTGCACTTGCAATATATCAGCATAGTCACAACTTAATTAATATTTCCCCTGCATTATGTATGTATAATAGGCTACTTTAAAAATGGAAAGCACAAGAGAATTATCTTTTTTTGAACAATGAGTTGTATTAAATAATTCAATAAAATTAGATTCAATTCATATAAATAAAAATATTAAAAACATGAAATAGTTCAATTAAACACATTTAAATCTGGTAGAGAAATTAGAGTTGTAGTTTTACTTTACTTTTGATATTTTAAATAGAGTTCCAGTCAGACTGTATGTTGGTTATTAGTTAGTTCTGGGTCAGGGAGAAATTCCCCTTTAGCCACTGATTTCCCAAACAATAATAATTATGCTCAAGATTAAAAGGGATTTTCTTAGAAAATCACAATGACCAGTGCCAGGAACCTGATGATTGGACTTGATGCATGTCCAGGAAATGTCCCTTGTACCCTGAAAGGTTACAATAGATTCAAATACATTTAATATCATGTTTAAAATTGAAACCATTATTTATTGATTTGCACCATTTGTGACATTTCTAAGATTTCTTAAAATAATACAATAAAGAAAGAAATATTGTCGAAATATACAGTTTTAAATATTGCAGTCATTGACATTTTCACCCAAAATACATAAAACCAATGCTTATTTGGTTATAAACATTTGTGCCCGGTTTCACAGACAAGGCTTGAGCTGTTTTAACTGAAAGCAACTTGCACTGAAATATCTTAAATGTTTGTTTTTTTCTAAGGCACGTTTATAAAAGCTACTTAAATGTCCTAATTGAACTAAAGCCTAATCATGGCTTAATCTAAACCCTGTCTGTGAAACCAGGCCATGGCGTCTCGAAGTGGTCTTATATGTTTGCTTTCACACGTTCGCACTCTTAAAGGTCAGCGTTTATTTATACGCTGTGTTCTCGTCATGAGTGGCCTGTGACTTCAGGTCATCTGTAGCCTGACTCACTTCCTCTGTCATCATGTGACGAGAGACAAAACTCAGTGGCGCAAGATGGCCAAAAGTCATGATGACCGATATCATAAAAACAACTCACGAAAAGTCATGTCAGGACATTCCCAGCTTGTTTGTGACCTTTACAGACATATTTTTGCTGTTGTAATGGTTAAGAAACGCATGAAATGGTTACAATTCATCGAAAAGTGGTAACCTAAAACGGTAACATCTAAATGAACTAGTCAGCAATATTATTTAACACAACTGAACCAAACATTACTTTATATGGCCAACCAACAAATCACATTTTTGGGTTGAATCAGATAGAAATAGGTTACTAGTACTTTTTACAGTGTATAAAGCTGAATGCAGGGCATTCTCGTAAGGAAACGCAGTGAAAGCGAGTGATATTCAAAACAGGAGGTTTGATATTTTGCATTGTTTTGGTACTCTTCGAAACTGGGACGAACAACAACTCTTTATATGAATCAGGAACGTGAAAAAGCTCATCTAATAATGGCCATATGCGACAGTTGCAGGACGAGATATGGCACTCTTGATTGGCAAACCGAACAGGGTTAGGATTTCCCCGTCTCAACCCACGGACTTTACAGAGCGGAAATGGTGCGTTAAATACTTAACCAACATTTCCTCCTGCTCTGGCGGTTGGGGTTTTCTCAACACCAGCAGCGTCGCTTAAACGTCGCCTCGTCTGCAATAACAGGCTATACCGACGGAAAAACGATGTTATTCGATCAACCTTTATCCATTAAACGTGATTGCAACAGTCGGTGGTATGACGTGGGTCTATTATCATGGGCTATACGTGTGTTGTGCAATTACGGCTATCTTTGCACTTTGAGCAAAATGGATAGCAGTGGGACTTTCCCATGAGTGTGTGTGTGTGTGTGTGTGTGTGGAACAAACGCCCATGCAAATGACAGGTCTAATCGATGGGTTTATATAGGGATGCTGCACTGAGCGAGTAGGCGGCAGAAGAGCTTATCGCTCACGGCAGGTTCATGAGAGACATGATTCAGCATCCTCAATGTGGTACTGGTACCGAAATGACTCAGTAACTACACATGTTGTGGACCCGTGGGGAAAAGAGGCTAAACTGAAGGTAGGTTTAAGGAGGTGAGTGATAAAACGCAGATGCGCACGTGGGTTGAAGAAGTCAGTGGAGTTGAAGATGTAAAAAAAGAAAGAAAAAAAAAGTGGCAAAATGCATTTCTTGTTTAGGAGCGTTCCCCGCGCTTAATATAAACACTGAATTTATGATGGCAGTTCAGATTCATCATAACACAACATAGGCTATACATGTAATACTGGAAGCCATTTGCGAGGCATTTTTGTAACATCTCTCAGTGCGTTTAAATACACCACTGTTCAAAAGTTTAGAGTAAGCTTTTTTTTTTCATGCATTCGTTGATCAAAAGTGGCTGCAAAGGCATTTATATTGTTATAAACGATTTCTATTTATCGAAGAATCCTGAAAAAATAGTGTGACGGTTTCCCCCAAAATAGTTAAGCACCACAACTGTTTTCAACATTGATAAGGGATTTCTGAAGGATCATGTGACACTGAAGACTGAGCCATCATTACATTTTAAAATAGATTAAAGTAGAAAACAGTTGTTTTAAGTTGTATTAATATTTCACAATACTGTAAATAAAATATATAATCAAAAAGCTATGACAACATATGTTTTTACATCGGTTTGACTCACAAAAAATAAGTTAAGCCATTTTTCAAACAATTTATAAGATTCAACTCATTTTTTCAAGTCAGTTTAATGTAATTTAAGTTGAAAAGATTAAAACATCCAAGTAGTTGATTGTACTTTTTAATTTAATGCTGCCACTTTGCTGCCAGATTTTCAAAAGCAAAATCTTATCGACCCCAAACTGTAATGAAGGGTATAATGTATTTAAGATTTAAAGTGAAATAACGTGTGCCAATAAAGTCAATAGTTATTAACAATAATGAAAATCGCATTATCTTTCATGTTGCGATTATTGTTAATTTTGTTTGTAGCAGGTGAAATTATTTGGTTGAGAAGTTCTAACATGCACACACAATTAATTCAATCAACTGCAAACATTATTCAAATGATCCTTGATCACATAGTTTAATTCATATTTTGTTTCTGTTTGATTCTTGAAGTTAACCGAACATGACAAATGTTAGTTAGATCCATTCGTGCGTGAAGTGCTTTCAAGAAAATGCTCTTGAACAAATACAGAATCCAAGAAATCCAAGATACAAATTCCACTGTAGAAAAATATTGTTGGTTTAACTTAAAAAATGAAGTAACCTGGTTGCCTTAAAATTTTAAGTTCATTGAAATGGAAAAAATTAGTTAATACAATGAAGGAGATTGATTTAATCATCAGAAACTCAAAATATTATGTTATCTGAACCACATAAATTATTTCAGTTGATTTGACAAAAGAAAAAATGTTGTGATTACAAATCATGAACATATATTTTTTTTACAGTGAAGAAGAGACAAAGTCGTGTGACACATTTTACTAAATTATACTAATCCTACCATTTATGAGAAATTCTCTGACTCTTTTTTTTCCCGTTTATTGTTTATTTTTTATGTTTATTGGCATACCACCAATTAAGTTTCACTTTATTTGGTTGCGTATAGGCTATAAACCACCCTCTGGGCAGCTTTGCGTGACTTCTGGATGTTAAACTGAGCTCTTGGCTTTGAGAACTGAATTCCAAGGGTGTCTTCTTCATACTCTGCCCACGGAGTTCAGTT